AATCGGAGGGGCTTAGTGGTGGAAAATATATTACATCGCATATGTGAGCGATGAGTTGTACGAGTCAGCTGTGTAATGTCATGTGAACAAATTAGAACATGGAATCGTCGGCAGTAGTATGGAATAATCTCGAATCAAAGCGTTCAGGGGTTCTTCCCTGCAAGCAGAGATTATAGCAGAAACACTCACAAAATTCTCGGCTCTAGGGGATTTTAATCCCTGAGGGATTTTAGGCACGGAGGAGGGTTAGAGCTTCAGAAGGGCATTTTTTCCAGCAGTAACATTTTTTTCTGAGCGCTATAGTGTATTCAGAGCAATGGAGCGGTGAGAAAGAATCCACGATGTAGCTCAAGACCAAAAAGAAAGTGATGGATTTCAGGTCATAAACCTCATTCCTGTCTCCTACACACTAGTCAACTCTTGAGGGTTTATGGCAGGGTACGAATGACTCGAGACTATATCACAAGAATGCTGAATTGCGAGCAAAACTTTCACCTCAGAGATTCGAAAGCGGACCTGCTTTCCGGGTAGTTGTAACAGCAGTTACTCTTTTTTTCAAACTGGTAGCAAAGCCCCGATTGTCCCGAAAGCAAGAGATCCGGGTACGAATTCCCGGCTGGGGCGACCTGCCCACAACTCAGCATTCTTGTGATAAGTTTCGCAACGCGAACTGCGGCGTGAAGCTGCAGTTATCCATCAACCAAGCTACCTGTCTTGCATTGAGTTCCAAAGAGTTTACAGGGAAAAAACAACGGTAATAAGCGTCCAGGCTATTTTTGACCACTTATTTGTTAAACACCTTCAAATCTGGTCAGGACTGACTTTTTTCATCTCTTCTTCTTCGCTCTATCAAAGTTTTGTACCGTTGACTGACGGATTCAATTTTCAACAGCAGAGAGGCAGATTTCGCCTTCCAGTACTGAAGATCAGTAAAACGTTCTATTTAGGCCATGCAACGCCTGCACCCCCGGCATGAGCAGCAACTACTCGCTCCGTCTACAACGATTTTATTATGCATAAACTATAAAGTTTAGGTTTTTGTAACACATATTTTTGCAGGAGACACAGTTAAAGTTTGCATGTCGAGTGCATAGACAAGATCAGTTATCAGCACAGCTGTGTGTGACAGGGCCCAAAT